CCACGCCTGTTTGCGCCCCTAGCGCCCCCTCTGGCCGGATAAAAGGGAGGCCAATCTTGACCCAGTCTCACACCCTCAACGACCTTCTCAGTGACCGCTTCTGACCTGAGTTGCCCTCCCGGCGCCCAGCCGGGGGATCCACCCAGCGTCGTTCTTCATGTATCGTTATTCTTGTGTATGTGTTGTAACTCTTACCAATAAAGAGTTAAGCCACACCGTGTATCCCTGTACACCATAAAATAAGAGAGACTTAGAACATCTTATAAGTGGTGGCAGGGTGGTTGTTTCGACCTTTTGGCTTACGCAAGACTCCGAAGAACTAGGACCGCTCGCCTAAAAACATCGCGATATGAAGAACGAGGATACAAAACCACGTGAGTACATGTATGGGTCAAATCTTTTCTTTTTTCCTTTCTTCTTCCCCCATATATGCGTTAAGCAAACCGTTCCCACGATGGTTTTGCTGGTGGAAAGTGCTAAGTGAAAATCTAACAGCATAATGGCAACACTCACAGTCTGTCAATTACCGGGACCTGAGACACTTCCTCAGGATGTGTCAGGTCTGGACACAAACATTGAATGCCGTTCTTTAAATAATTAATTTTCTCGCATTTAGAGATTTATTTATATTGTTTCAACGACAACAAAATTCAACTCAAGTTCGTGATTTTCTCTCAAGCTGAGAATTTTCTTTTTGTAATTCGCGATCATTTACGAATTCTGTGTATTCCTTCTCTTCGTATACGTATTTCGTTAATTGATTGTTGAATTTCATTCATTGTTGAAATCTTTGGTTCATTTATTCTTTTACTGATTTCAGTATTCGCACTCACGAACGCGCATATCATTTAATTCTTTGTAGTAAACAGTTAACCCACCCCCCCCCCCGGCTGACCTCACTTCCCTTTCATCCGGTCGTGGAGGGCAGGGACCTGTAATTAGGCCTTCAACGCTATTTCGGTGACAATTCTTCGGTGCAAAGAATAATAGCTTGATCGCAAATATTTCTAAATTCATTTGAATGAATAAAGCGTAAGAATCTTCCCCTTTCATCGTGCAATAACGCATGGGGTTTCGTAATGAATAATAGATACACGCACCCGACGTTTGAGAGTAAGTAATGAAACTGAAGCATAACTCATTCGTTCGGCATATTGAGTCGGTGTGACCCGTATTAACGTCTGCTTATTAAGGGACTAGGGTTTAAGCTGGAATTAATTCGCTTAGTAAAACACCTTCTCACTTTCTTTACCGCTGGCATGTCCGGAAAATTCCGACAATCGTGTGATTCGTAGTTGATATCTGCGTGCGCCATTCACAGATTGTAGAGTAAGACTAACGATAAAATTCGAGTCTCATATAGTCACTTCATTCGTTCAGATAATTTGGGCATAAGGGACCTCTGTCGATGAAACTAGCTCTCACATGCGTAACGAGATATTATTTCCTCAGTGTATCAGATTTTGTTGCATCCGTAAGTACGATTAAATAATCGGGGATAGCATAAGAAACATTTCTGAACTGGGATGCTTGCATTGCGGAAGCTTGCAAAAGAAATTTCATGTCACCATTCATTTTGCGTACGTTAAGTCGCATTTCATTTTAATGTTGAATTCTTGGGGTAATTGAAATAATTGTTGTATTGACATAGTAATGATCATATTTGCTAAGATGAACGTTAAATTCGTGTTTGTGATCCATCTTCGTGTGAGCTCGCTTTCTCTTCACACTCATAATTACATACACACACTCATTCACGCAATCGGGCACTGATCTCTTTTGCCCGCAATGTTGCTGTGATGAGTAAACATACACACAATCATTTCACACACTCTTCCACGCAGTTCAACAGAACACTGTTAAGTCAAATCTTCATGTATAGGATTTGTTGTGTCATGGTCCAAGGCTATTCTTTTGCCTTGTTGACGTTGCTGATCGTGATTAGTGGAAATGATGCACTATACATATTTTTTCTTATCTGTGAAATGACAAACGGTTCAAGTTATCCTTGCGGATGCCGATGTCATTTCCCTTATCTATTCTCATGTCTATCTGAGATGGTTAGTAGCTCAAGCAAGTTCGTGAGAACTGCTACTCTCCTCTCCCTCATTTTATTTTTCTTCCTGAAAAATACAAAAGTAAAAAAAAAACGAAAATAAATGAAATAACCACATTAAAAACTGCAAATTAGTATAAAAAATATTACGGCTAACAGCGCTTAATTAACATCCCTCCCTCTCTGTTGTCTTTCTTTTTCTCTTACTATATTGGCCCTTACGTGTATAAACTGGTTCATAATGTATATATATGGACGTGTATATCCGACGCGGCATCAAAGGAGATCTAACTGCAGCACGATCGCCTTGCAATGCCGTGAGACGAACATCGCCAGAAGATCGCCGCAGGCCAAAGGACGAGGACTCGCGAAATTGCAGGTACTAAGCCGCCCAGATCGGGACGGGCGCCGCCTGTCAGTACTCCCGTAGATCCGGTAAAGAACCAGGAACTCGTCAGAGCAGGCCCATGATGCTATGAAAAGCCGCCTGCCTGGACGCCCGTAGATCGGTTAAACTCCAGGAGCTCCCCAGCGCAGGAGTAAGACGCCCTCAGACGAAAGGACGCCCCTGCCCAGGACGCCGTAGACCCAGACGCGCAGGCTACGAGGACGTCGGGTACGAGCCGCAGCCGAAAAGGACCTGGACGAATCTGCGAGGACGTGTGGACGATGACGCCGCCGAGTACCGCCTGGATAAGGACTGCGAGGACGACTGGACGAACCGAAGTCAAGGAGGACCTAGGCGAAACCTTCGAGGACGTGTGGACGTCGATAACGGATGGATGCACCAAGGACCAAGATGAAGAGGCCGACAACGAGGAGATGCACGAGGACAACCGAGAACAGGAACGCGACGAGACGACCAACATATGGGGTACGATGATAGGTCACCCTTAAAGTGATTCAGAGGACGCCACGAGGACGAGGCTGAGGTGGTGGCCGAGCGTATAAAGGGTAATACATGCAATACCTACTTCCCACGTGTGTCCACATCTAGACCACGTGTTGTGGCAGGGGCGCCATGTGCGTGCCCCACGCTCACTGCCCCTCGCTTCACCCACGCCTGTTTGCGCCCCTAGCGCCCCCTCTGGCCGGATAAAAGGGAGACCAATCTTGACCCAGTCTCACACCCTCAACGACCTTCTCAGTGACCGCTTCTGACCTGAGTTGCCCTCCCGGCGCCCAGCCGGGGGATCCACCCAGCGTCGTTCTTCGTGTATCGTTATTCTTGTGTATGTGTTGCAACTCTTACCAATAAAGAGTTAAGCCACACCGTGTATCCCTGTACACCATAAAATAAGAGAGACTTAGAACATCTTATACCCCCCCTCTCTCTCTCTCTCTTGCGGACCTGCGTTCAATCCCACGCCCGGCCAGTGAGTGGTAACCCCGGCCACTCCTTGCACACAGGGGGAGATTTGGGCAAAATAAAACAGACAGTATGTCACAGCAAAGAATATCCATTGTAACAAATGGAATTAAAGCTAAATCTTTAAATCTTTAAGAGTATCCATTGTAACAAATGGAATTAAACTAAATCTTTTAAATCTTTTAAATCTTTAATCTTTAAATCTTTCTCTCTCTCTCTCTCTCTCTCTCTCTCTCTCTCTCTCTCTCTCTCTCTCTCTCTCTCTCTCTCTCTCTCTCTCTCTCTCTCTCTCTTCTCTCTCTCTCTCTCTCTCTCTCTCTCTCCTCTCTCTCTCTTTCTCTCTCTCTCTCTCTCTCTCTCTCTCTCTCTCTCTCTCTCTCTCTCTCTCTCTCTCTCTCTCTCTCTCTCTCTCTCTCTCTCTCTCTCTCTCTCTCTCTCTCTCTCTCTCTCTCTCTCTCTCTCTCTCTCTCTCTCTCTCTCTCTCTCTCTCTCTCTCTCTCTCTCTCTCTCTCTCTCTCTCTCTCTCTCTCTCTCTCTCTCTCTCAAAATCAACTTTATGTCTTCTGTTGATTCATGTGAAATCTATTTTTGTCGATATTAGATGTAAGAGAGATTTTTTTTTTTTTTTTTTTATTGTGATGAAATGCCTTTGGCGATTCTGGAAACTGAATTGAATTGAATAATTACGCTGTTGTTTGGTATTGTCATCAGGATGTGTGTGTGCGATTTTTTGTTTTTATTATTGTGTATATGTGTGCGTTTATGTTTGTCTGTGTGTGTATTTGAATGTCTGTCTGTATGTGCTCATATACGCGTGTGCGTGTTTATGTATGTGTGTTTATGTGCGTGTGTTTAGCGAAAATACAAAACCTTCAGCGATGGCAGTAATAGAATTATCATTATCCTTATTACTATTATTATATAATAATTGTTATATGTTATTGTTGCTATTATTATTATTACTTTTAGTACTGCTTTTATCATCATTGTCATTATTATTACCATGGTAATACAGTTAGATAGATTGATAGTAATTATAACGATTTTATTATCCACATTATTATTATCATTATCTTTACTAACATTATTATTATCATCATTATTGCTGACATTATTATTATGATTATTATTGTTGTCATTACCATCATTATTACTGACTGTTATTTGTTTTTTTTAATACCTTAAAAAATCATACCACGAACTTTTTTCCTGTTACTAGTTTTATCATTATTTCTTGTTTTTATTACTGTTAAAGCTTCTATCAGCATCCCTCGTGTGTGTGTGTATTTGAATGTATCATTAATGCTATTTTTCTATTATCATTATCTTATTCCTATTGTTCCCAGAAATGACACCAGTTTCTTTGCCTCTCTCTCTCTCTTTGCCTCTCTCTCTCCTCTTTGCCTCTCTCTCTCTTTTGCTCTCTCTCTCTCTCTTTGCTCTCTCTCTCTCTCTTCTCTCTCTCTCTCTCTCTCTCTCTCTCTCTCTCTCTCTCTCTCTCTCTCTCTCTCTCTCTCTCTCTCTCTCTCTCTCTCTCTCTCTCTCTCTCTCTCTCTCTCTCTCTCACCACCAGTCTAATTCCAGAACGGATTCTCCTCGCCATCATCGGCCTCCCCCGGAGACAGCGTCGACAGCTGGTCGAAATGGAGATGCATCGACGGGAACATATTCAGGCCACGCAGCATATTAGGTGGGTAAG